CGAAGGCATGCTGTACATCAAAAGATTTGCCTGACGATCTGAATAAAATGCTGCCTTCGGATTTGAAATATATTCATTGCGAAGGAAGTTATTGCGTTGCGTATTCTGCGTCACTCCCGTGATTCCGCAGTTCCTAGAATGTCGCGAACTTCCAGGAATATTACGGACTCTAGCGGAAATTCCGGAATTCCGCGAAGTTCGCGGAATTTTTGCACATTTTGTGAGCGGTATTGTGATCTTGAGCAGATTTTGAGCAAAAATGAGACTGACTCTCTACCGTACTCCCACAGTATACTTTCTATGTGTCATTTGCGACAAATCAATGGCAGTACTGTTATCAGCATACTGAACAATCCAAGCAAACAAAAATCTGCAAAATTGAGAGAAAACTTACTGGCTGGCGTATACTTATCAAATCCTGCTAGATTGTGGCACTCCTATACGCTAGATGATACGTGTCGCCAAAGTCGACTATAAGAAGTTTTAGCGGTGTCGCCAACGACGCTGTGGATTGTACATACTGTATATTTATTATTGTTGATTTGTGTTCGTTTTGCCTTATATCGTAGTGGTTAGAAGAGTCCCAAGAGGATCAGCCGGACATGTCATTGCAACCTCACTTCCATCACCTTATCAGTACTATCTTCAGTCAACAATGACTTCGCAAGTAACAAGTTTAAGGGTATAAATACCGATGGATGAGTGAGGTCGGGGATTCTCTCCACAAGTGCCTGCTGGTAGGACGACAAGTCTCCGGCTCACCAAGAGGATTACGAGTAGTTCTTCGTGAGGACGACAAGTCCGATAGGCAATCTTCCTCCACAAGTCTTCTCCAGGTAACATTAGATCCAACAGGTACTCTGGACCAGGAGCATCAAGTCTCTTGTGAACCAAGAAATCTCTGAGGGATCACAAGTATCCTGGGAAGCTCCGAAGATTGACACGTCTCTGGAGACACTTCACACATCTACATCTTTATTGTTTGTGATTATTGTTTGTGATTATTTATTGTATCACAATAAAGCTTCATTTCTCAAGTCTGAGGTACCATAGACGTGGCAACACTAAGCAGCCTCACCACTAGCCATCTCTTTGCTACAATGCGCCTCGCCGAGCTGAATCGAACGGTGTCCTCGGATTCAGAATTCGTCCATTTTGAAGCAAGATATGGCGATGCGACGCGGATTCCGACGGATTCCAATGGAGTGTGGCGCACTCTGCCTCACTCCGGGACACTGCAGCGCACTCCGGAGGAATGCGCAGCAGTCCGGCGACTTTTTTGACGAATTATGAGCGGTATTGTAGCTTAAACGAGTACGAATATAATAGCTTCAGAATAAATAACTTGAGAAATTTTGAAAACCCATCTGAAGACGCCAAAAATATTTATTGTATTGCACTTTCTTCATTCTAAGCAACTGCTATCAAAGCCCTTCCAGAAGTTAGAAATAGAAGCGTTGAAGTTGCAATTTGCAATGACAAAAAACATATTTTCGGAACTTTTGCGATTACTCTGTTAAACACAAATGGTTAGTTCGAAAATATAATGCCAGAAAAAGAAAAATTTACTTCTTTAAGATGGGCAGAAGAAATGGAAAAAAACTTTTGAGTCTACCCAACACATATGATACAAAAGCGATTTCTTCTTTATGGTAAAAATGTCAGGTGATTTGAAATAGCGCTAAACCAATATTAGTGCTGACACCATTATGTCCCATTATGTACTCTAAAAGTCACTGTAATTTTGTTCTCAATGAACATGTTTGAAGTTGTGTGTACTTCGCGCATGCTAGCCTGACATCATTCCTCAAGATGGCTTCCAATCTCGGTAATCTTTGGTCCTTAAATTTTCCTGTACAGTTACGTGTGAATTACGACACATTTGGTTCGAAAAGAAATGATAACTGCAGTTTTTGCTTTAATAGCTTAAAAGGCGATTTGCTTCGACAAACCTGTCCTAAGAAGTTTTATAACTAGGGTCAAGCAAGAGGCGTGGCACAGCATCGCTGAATACGACCCTCCTCCCTAGTAGCTGTCATAATAACGCTCCCCCCCCCTGAACTACTGCATATCTAAGGGGCGCATGCACTAACATCCCCGCAAGGAGGGGATCGTACAATACCACTCTCATAACGTGCAAAATTTCCGTGAATGTCGCGAAATTCCGAAATTTCCGCGAACTTTCCGGAATTTCGCGAAATTCCGGGAATGTCGCGAAGTTTCGCGAAATTCCGGAAATTTCGCGGAATTTTCGGAATTTCGCGACATTTTCGGAATTTCGCGACATTTACGGAAATTTCGCACATTCTGTGAGCGGTATTGTAGCTCAAAAGAAAGCTTTACATTCTAAAACTCCAGATACCTGAATTTCAGATTGTGTGCCTATCCCTATATATTCCTACTACCCTTCACTTGTGCAACATACGAAGGCCTCTTAGCGAGTAAGGGTCTTGTAAAATCTAATTGCCCGCGCCGTGCCTCCAACATCAGCGTAAGCTAGCGTCGCGAATGACTGTAGACGTTCACTATCTTTCAAGAATTATCTATCAGTTTCCATATTTTTTTCGAAGATGCAAAGCATGTTTTGACCAAAAATTCATTGGAAATTGAAAAATATGTGCGAAATGGGTGCGCGCACATTGTCAACTGTAGCGCTTCGGGACCCAACGTTTTCAGCCGCCCCGCGCATATTTGCACGTCGAATTTCGTCACTCTAGTACTTTAACTCCTAGTTCATGCCAAAATCTTGTGTGTTGTTAGTTATGTGCTACTAGCTTGCTTACCCGTCTCCGCTCGGCCCTGTCAAAACACTGTAAAAATTCCCTGTGCCCACTTCTACACTTCATTTCCCGTTTCCCTGTGTTATTGAAATCAGCATGCCCGCTTACCCCCTGTGCCAAATCCCAGCCCTTCAGCTCAAATTTTGCAAAAAAAAAATCGACAAAATCGATAAAAGTAATCGATAATTTTGAGAACTAATTTGTCCGGGATCGCCACGCCCACTTATCCCCCAACCCGCCCCCCGTGTGCCAACTCCTAGCCCTGTAGCTCAAACTTTGCAAAAAATCGATAAAATCGATGGAAGTAATCGATAATTCTGAAAATAAATTTTGTATTCGGAATCGCCATGCCCACTTACCCCCCTGTGCCAACTCCCAGGCCCGTAGGTGAACTCTGCAAAAAGATCGATAGAAATCGATAAAATCGATGTCTATCGATGACGAAGAGTAGCCTATGACACGTTTCCCGCCGCGAAGTATATGTGTGCCAAGCTTGGTCCAAATCGGTTCAGAAATAAAAATTTCTGTTCCGCACAGACGTACAGACAGACAGACAGACATACAGACATACAAGCAGACATTCAACTTTATGTATAAGATGCGGGCTTACGAAAGCGCTATAGTTGCTATTTACGTGTCATCCGAAAATTTGCTAACGACTCTCCATAAACTTCAAAAGCACCATGACCACTGTCGCCCCAGGCCGTACCGGAGAGGTGTGGGAGACAAACATTTCCGTAGAATGGCGTTAGTCACGCGCCCCAAAAAAATTTTTTGAGATGCTTCCCAATAAAATTTGAGGGACCCATGAAAAAACAGTACAAAGTCATTTCAGTCTAGATCAGATTGAAATTTCTTTCCAGGCACGAAATATATGCATAATACCATATAAAGTTGCTGGGGCTGGCTTCCAGTCTATCCCACTCATTCAATATGAATTCCTCAGCTGCTTACTATCCAGTCAAGTTGTGCACGCTATGAAACGTACCAAAGCAGCTTCAGTCGTGATGAAATTGTGCATAGATTTTGATCTATCATGTACAAGCAAACTTAACAAAACTTACAGAAGCTTACAGACGCTTCAAAGTTTAATTGCCGAAGCGTCGCTTTGAACACTAACGCGCGGGGCGGCTGAAAACGTTGGGTCCTGAAGCGCTATAGATGACAATGTGCGCGCACCCATTTCGCACAATTTCTCAATTTTCAATGAATTTTTGGTCATAACATGCTTTGCATCTTCGAAAAAAATATGGAAACTGATATATAATTCCTGAAAAATAGTGAACGTCTACAGTCATCTGCGACGACCGCTGGCTTACGCTGATGTTGGAGGCACGGCGCGGGCAATTAGTTTTTTACAAGACTCATACTCGCTAAGAGGCCTTCGTATGTGTGCACATACTGCATTTTTCAAAGCACAGGTGGTTTCATATGAGTTTTGAATTTACTATATTGGTTTAATAAGCTTCACCGCCTCTTTACGTAAAGCAAAAGAAAAGGTCTCGGCATAGGTGGCTTGTAAGCAGGCTGGATATCGTTATTTGGGGCAAAAAGCAAAGGGGGTATCGTTTCTGAAGCCGATAATACGCAAAAATTGTGAATTTTTTTTAGTTGACGTTTCATTTCACAAGGGTATTTTACATTTAAGGTTTAGGGTCAAAGGGGACTTTGTAAAAATTCGCTAAAGTCAAAGGGAACTTCGTTTTTGCATTTTCCAAAAGCCACTTCGTGCCGAGCTTTGCAAATGAATGCTACTAAGTCTAGAATTGCGAAAAATCATCAAGTTGAATGAAACGCCATTTTGAATGGTTTGGGACGAAGGAGACTTTTGTGCTTATTGCTTCTACTTGCAACCCATTGATTTAAAGCTCAGATTGTTTAACGTTAAGTGCAGCACGCGGAACATTTTCAACTTTCATATTGAATTTCAAGCATTAAATCTGGAAATTTCCGAAAACGAACAAGGGAGATTTGCAAAATTGGCGTACTCTGAGTATCAAACATCAGGTGCAACTACAGCTAACAATAATTAATGAAATGGAGTCTGGCAATTCTAGGCACACTGTTGTGGTTGTATTTATTAACTTTACGGAATTTATTGACGCGAACAGCTAGAAGTCCACTTGAACTTATGCTCAAAGATGGCTAAATTTTATGCACTCAATATTTTGTACTAGGTCTAATCAAAAACGGCAACCTATAAGCTAGTTCACAAAATAGATGAGATACTTCTGTATGAGAATCGCTGTAAGTTAAATTTCTCAACTATCTCTATAATTTCGTGCGTTTAGGTAATATTTTTTGTTATTCTTGGAACAATAGCAAAAGTCTCGAAGAAGGACACACCAACTTGTTTGAAATATGGTGGTCTAAACAATGAGATGCACCGAGTGCTCCAAAAACATTTGATACATCATCATTTCAAAGTATTGTTGGTAAGTGCTCCATTTCCATGTGAACGTAAATGCTACTCTACGACCAGAAAGTCCATTTGCTTCTAGAAAAAAAGTTGCAACTATGCACTTAGAAGTAAATATTTTGTTGGAAAGAAGCCATAGGATGGTTTATATCGCGATGGCAAAATAGTAATTTCCGCCTTCTCCTCAGAGTAAAGCGACTTGATGTTCCTTTCAACATGTATATAAAAAATAATTTTAGCAAATTATCTCCTGTAGCTGAACTTGCTGCTGAAGTCATTCGGATGTTATCACATCTGGATCAGGTAATACGGATTCAACAGTACTATACTTTATGCATGTAACGAAAACATTTCTCATAATCCTTATATTTTTGTCTATCGCACGTCTATAAGCGAAAAAATTTATTTTGTAGGAGGGATTTTGCTGCTTGTGCTTTAATTGCTGCTATTTGCTTTACTGCTTTGATTTTTCTGCAGCATAGCACAACGAGCTACTGTAATCTTCATCACTTTTCAGAAGATTTTCACAATTTTATATTATGCCTGCACTCGCAATGGGCGGGGAAGGAAACACCATAGATTTGTTTGCGCTATTGGAACAGAAGATATGGTTTGAAGGTACTCATTCTCAAAGCAACGATCTATCTGAATATTCAGTTCTATCACTTATTTTAGATATTCCTGGAATGTTCGCTGCATCCAAACAAAATAATGAGGCTTCACATCACATCTTTAAGTGTTTGTGTACTAGATGTGGTTTTTGAGTACATCAATTTATAGAACAGCTATTAATAACAATTTTGCTTTCTTTCTCCGTATTAATTTCAAGTGCTAAGTCCAGAACAATTGCCTTCAATTGGGTGGAGGACTGTATGTCGCCGAAAGAAGGCGGTCTTACGTAAACATCTGCCTCCAAATACTACAGACCCTACAGAACCATAACAGCTGTGATGCCCATTGCCTATCGACATTGATTCCCCTCCCCCCCCCCAACTTCCTTTACGTCCGAAAATTTGAATAAATAGCTAACCTTTGCTTCAACTGACTTGGCGGCTGGAAGGCGGGGCTCTGTGAGCTAATTAAGGCCGCTCGCACCCGGTGCGCAGTCTGCGCCTCTCCCGCGCGCATACTCTCTGGTCACTACATAGCCTTAATTAGGTGACGAAGCCTAGCTTGCCAGCCGCCAAGCCGGTTGAATGAAAGAGTATTTTCGAGGTTACTATTACTGTCCGTGACAGTCGAACAGTGTCTCGGATGAGCACGCTTGATTAACAGTATTACTTTGATTAACAGCGTAGTCGTCTACATCCAAGAGTATAATTTCTCAAAAACCAGCGATAATCACCATTACTGTGAATTTGAACATGGAAAACATGTTGTGTCTACTTAAGAGCAAGTAGGTAAACTAGACAACTTCAACTTTTAGCAATTTTGCATCTGATTCGACGCGAACATCACAAGCGCAAAAGTTTAGCTCATAAGTCAGAATGTTGTTACATCTAACCAAACTGATTGCACCAACTTGTTAAACTTCTCTTCTTTATTGAATGATACTATAAGTTATTTCATGAGTTTGCATGTAGTAAAAGCAAATGTCAGCATATTTTCCAACTTATTATGCGCATAACTGCTGCTTGATATCCTTTTTGATACTTTTGGAAATCGATTAAATATTAAGAAGCATGCAGATGTTGTTATCATACACAGCAGGTAGATAAAGCATCCTTTGCTTGGCGGCTGGAATGCGGGGCTTCGTGACCTAATTAAGCCTAGGTAATGATAAGAGGGCTCGCACGCGGGAGAGACTCAGACTGCGGGCGGGCGGGCGCGAGCGGCCTTAATTAGGTCACAAAGCCCCACCTTCCAGGCCCAAGTTAGATGAATTAAATGCTAGAATAAAAATGCCTTGTAAGCCTCTACTGTATAAACCTGCCCTAAAGCAAGCACAAAATAAAGCAAATTCTTAGAGTTGCACCAGTTTGCTAATTATCATTATTTCGCTCAATTGCAAATGTTATCATTGCTAATACTGCTATCACATGAAACATATCAGCAAAGTCTTAGCTCGGCCATTTGGCTACTCAAAATTAGCAGCTTTAGATTCCCCGGTTTTTGATGGAACAAAACATTACCAAAATGGAGAGTTTGACAGACTGTAAGGGCAATCCTGAAAACAATGAGAACAATGGCACTGGGCGTGTTCATTCGATATACTTCTGCAGCAAAAATTTATTCGGGTTATGTGCAAATATGAATCTGCAGTCTACATGTAACGTCGATTCAATTCCAGAAACTATACAAGAAAACAGCACGCAAATCTCTCATATCAGACAGTGTTGCAACTTGCAACGCAATTGACCATTCAAATATTAGTCTAGAGAAGAGCAGAGCAAGTTCATTTTCTTTCTGAATTAGTCAAACAATGGCACAAGTTGAGAGTTCTTTTTGCAAAAGCAGGCAATTTCATTGTTTTAAGAACAACTTTGAGATCAATTGTCACGAAAGTTGACAGAGAACAGCGCAATAAATAGTGCTTTGTAAGAGATTTATTGCCTTCGACAGCAGATAAATGAATACAGGGCTTTGCATCAACATTCAGCAACATCAGTGAACTCGAAGACAGTATTAGACAAAGTAGTTCCTGTAAACTAAGGATAAGCTAGCATTTTCTTGTTATAGTCAAATTTCTGAAAAAAAATCTTTTTACTTATCTTATTTTATCTTCCTAAAGATTTTCCATTTTGTGTACTGTGAACAGCTCTATACACACGTGATTTCTCACAACTTCATTCAGTCCAGTATCACAGAGCTGTACAAGTATCAGCGGATTGGTTCGGCCATTTGGCTGCTCAGTTGGCAGCTTAAGCCTTTCCTGCTCTGACAGAACAAAATATCACCAAAATGGATGACAGTGAAAAACGCTAAGACAACAGGAAATTGTTTTCTGAAAAAACGATTTTTTTCGCAACTTTTGAGATTTGAAAGTTTGAAATCCATCTTGGTTTGTCAACTATATTTTACACCACTTCGTGTTGGATAAAAAGAAAAGATTTCTGAAAAGAGCTAGTCTTACGCAAATTATCACAATGATTTCGTGAGACGTATGTACAGAAAAATATAATTTTGCTAATTCATGTGCATTTCTGATAACACACTTCTTACAATACATGCATCATTCAATCTTCAGTGATCTTGTTATGAGTTCGATGAGCACATACGGAGACTTTTTGAACCCCATACTTTTTGCTAATGTGATCAGATTGCTTAAGAGTACTTTCATGTCTTTATTCCAGAAAATCACCTTTATTTCTTTAGTACTAGCGCGTAAAAGAAAACCCTAGTTACTGATTCTTTCTTTTCTTGGTGTCATGTCTATCATATGTTCTGTTTAGGTGAAACAAAACGGAGAAAGTTTTTTTGCTGCTTCTCATGTGAGAGTGAAACCAAAGGCAAGCTTTATCAAGTAGAAGTGCGCAAGCTAGCATCCTTGCGACGTTGTGATTTTTCGGAAAATAAAGCTCGCAGAAACAAAAGCTCCTCTAAGTCATTCTCAGTGGGAACGAAATTAAATAAAATTAGAAAATAATAAAATAAAGGCAAGAAGAAATATTAAAAATAATAATTTGAAGTCATGAGTGAGTGGTCGAGTTATTCCGTCTTATAAGTGAAGGATACCAAGTTGCACTCGCACTGGGAAATTGAGAGAAGATACATAGCCAGAAGCGACTTTGAACGCTGATTCAAATCTTCTTTCCACATTTGCGAAACGACTTTGTGGAAGAAGACGGGCGGTCAAAAGTCCAGCTTTGCCAAGCATCCAGTAAAACAAATTTGATGAAAAGCGGTTTAGAAAACTAAATTGCATTTTGGTAGTATAATTGGGAGACGGTCTTTTCGCACGGGCGGTCTCCAGCGTCTCCCTGATTTTGACTTGTCTTAACATGTAATGCACGCCGCAAATCTTTCCTCTCCGTGTTTTGCTTAGGCAAAAGCCGCCGCAGGGTGTGTCGCGCGCGGCGGTGGTCCTGTGTGGAAAGCATTACGGTCGTGCGAAACGTCACACATCCAGTATAATTCTTCGTTGTAACTAACACATTCACAACTTCAACATTCACCACCGGTGGGTCGTATGCTTTCTGAAGTCGTTAATTTCGCTATTTCACGATGAAGCTTTTTTGGCTAACTAAATAAACTTCTGTTTACATCTCTTGGAGTACTTCCCAAAATATATGCTCTGATCCGAAATTGCAGTCGTCGAAAAATTGGCTTTGTTGTGAAGGTGTTAATGTACTCACTATTATCTCAATGGCGCCCTCTCAAGCCACCTTTTGACCCAAACACCTGTTGGAACCATTAAGGCAAGACCAGGGCTATGGTTGTGGTTCTCAAAACTACTCTATCAATGTAACAGAAATTTGTGCTATCGGATGGGCAATTTGTATTCTTTCCAAGCGAGATCCGCGAAGTGAATGATTAGATTGAAGGTTGTAAGGTTTGTGACAAATGCGAATAATGCGAATTTAAACACTCTTTTCAAAGTATTCCCGAACTAAACTCGGTCCCACTTGTGCCACTCTCATTTGAAAGTCCATCAAAGATGTTAAAGGCGGTGGCTCGGAAAAATTGCAAGTGCGCGCTTTGTGTTCCTCCTTGGCCTTCTGGACGCGTTAAGACCAGAGCTGTGGCTTAAAAAGTCAAAAAAGTGCTTTTTATGGCGTTTTCTGACCTAAGTGATTGCTGAGGAGGCTGGAGCGGAAAATCCCGCCAAAACAGTGACTGGCTGCAGGAAGACTGTAACCCCACTTATTTTGGCGGCATTGGCTGATAGGCCCAGGCAGCCAGTCGCGACTCGGCTGCGGGAGTATCTCCGCTTCAGCCTCCTCAGCAATGTCAAAGGCCGGAGAATGCGACAAAAAACACCTTTTTTGATTTTCAAGCACAACTTGGTCTAAACGCATTCACAAAGACAAGGAGGATCAGAAAGTGCACAGTTGCAAATTTGCCACCTTTAACATGTTGAAGACTGAGCCATTTTGAACTGCATCAAAATGGACTAAATATTTAAATCTGCGGCTTAGATTCCAGAGCACCTACCGCGATGCCCTGTGTTATATAAGACAAACAGACCACCAGTATTAT